TGTTTATGTAGGCCTTGCAAGGCTTTGTCAAGGCTCGCCTGAAAGTAGCATTAGATAACTAGGTCTGACCTTATTTCATAAACAAATGACTGTGGTCCAATCGGTTCAACCGTTCGGATCGTGATAAACAAATGCAGCCTATATGTTTTAGCTCTTTTAACAAATAAGACCCTCGTTACCTTGAAAGTAGGTCAAGGTCATTCATTTGAACAAAATTGATGAATTGACGTTGCTTGACCTCACACTAACCTTCCTGCCACCTCCACACAATCACATTGTGGTCATCTTCAAGTCCAACGGACAGTAAGTATTTCCCTGAGCAGGAGAAGTCCACAGCACAAACACCTTTAGAGTGACCTCCACTTAGTATCGACTTTGTCTCCTTGGTAGAGGCATCCCACACATGTATAGTTGGAACAGTTCCTATCTGGCCAGACGCCATCACATTCTTAAACTTTGGATTTTGATTCACGGCAAGACAAATGATGTCATCTGTGTGTTCTAGGTAAAAGCTCTGATGACCTGAAATCAAGTAGATAAGTATTATATAAGTGTGATCAACAGTAAGTGTAAATGTACACTATACACAGCCATGTCCTAATTTTCAGCGCATCATAATAATTTGTGCATGAACATTATTTCTGAGACTGTACATAATTTTCACCATAATTTTTAGTAAAAAATATGTGCATTTTTTATACGCGACATTAAAACAGTCATTTTAAATGAACTATAGTTGTAACAGTTTTGGCCTGTCATGGTTAGATTCATTTATGATGCTTCTGTAGTGATATATAATTATGCAACGTAAGTGCTGTAACTAAGTGGAATTAAATGTAATTGGTGGATTAAGTATAAAAAATGCGCCAAATTATATGACAAACATGAGTTTTAGAGAACACATAGGTAGCTATATTTGAGTGATAAACTTTACCATTCAATCAGCAAACCTAGTTTTGGAATTCAATTCCACCAAAAGCCAAAAACCATGTGTAAACACAAAGTTGGAAAATGCTCTACCTATTATTGGAGTGATTAAACCATGAGTGTTTAGGTGCACCGAATATCCCGACAGATCTGCACACAGAATATCCCGACAGCTCTGCACACATTCAATTGTCTACATACAAAGCTATTTATATTTGTCCCATTAAATTCAAATGGACTATATTTACCATTGTATGGTATTGCCACTGTATAACCCTACCACATTCAGATGGCATTCATAGGCTATGAATGCCATGACCTGATCGATAATGTCATCATAATTGTTACGTAAGATACCACTGACCCTCCATTGTACAAACTAATTGCTGAATAATAAGACTAGTGTAATTGATTTTTTTATGACATGAAATTCTGAAATGGTAAATATAAGTATTAAACTGCTTTCAGCTGGCATTCATAGGCAATATGAGTGCCAACTGAAAGCAGTTCAATGCATTGGGCTTTGGCTTTTGGTGACTGTGACATCACTGGCATTGTTGTAACATAAAATTGCGTTTGGCTAGTATGGATCAGGAACTGTTAACTAAACATGTACATAAAAATTACACTAACAGAAGACTTTCTTATGAGTGTTAATTTTTGGTACACTGACAATCATTTTTTTTTAAGCAGCTGGCTGAATAAAGCCCCCAAAACTTGCTATAATGTACTTACCTGAAGACAGGTTTTGGACGATGCCTGCTCCAGCTGTGTGGAAGATGATGTCAGCACCGTCGTTTATATAATGTAGGTTGTTACGAGAATCAAATCCTCGGTAACCAAACACATAATCCAACTGAAGATCCTACATACAAAAACATGTTTCAATTACTGTAAACTAAAGACTTTATTGTAAGCTGATGACT